GTTTTTATCTACTCTTCTACTAGAAAAAGCGCTATTATATCTTTTTTATTAATAACTATACCTACTAGAAAATAGTCTCTATTCTTAAGTAGAAGAGCAACGCTATTTCTACTATTACTACCTTCTTTACGTAGATTTAGCGCTAGTATAACACTACTATTTACTTTCTCTATACTAATAATAGTAGTAAATTTATTAATAATAAGCTTAAGGCTATAGTAGCTTCTAGTAGCTAGGTTTATAAAACTATAGCGCTTTATAACTCTAAGTAAAATAGCGCTACTAAGTAAATTAACTATATAAACTAGAATATTACGCGCTCTCTACTATACATAAGCGCTCTTACTAATACTTTCTAGCCTAAGCTAATTTACACTACTACCTACTTATATAACTACTTCTCTACGCGTATATTATTATTTAAGACACTTTTTAAAGCTCTATATAGAATAAAGCTAGATATCTTTTATTTTTACGTTATTAGCTATCTTAGGTATATAATAATACTAGATAGTAGCTATAAGAAGCTTAACTCTAAAGCTTACTAGTATATCTTACTTAGCTATAAAGGCACTAACTAATATTATATATAGAATAAAATAAAACGCTATATTTAAACTATTTATAACGTCTACTTCTATAAAGATAAATTTTCTTTAGCTTCTAATATTAGACTATAAATTAGCGCTAATAACGCAGCGCCTCTCTCTAACACTAAAATTTAGTAGTAGCTTATTAGTAAGCCTAAGGCTACTCTAGAGCTATCTAAGCGCTCTTAGTTACTATAAGTAGTACCTAAAGAACTACCTAGTAAGCGCATAAGATTGCGCTTTTAAATTACTATTACTAATAGTATAGCTAGCTAGAATAACTACCTTACTAATATTTATAAACTCTTAGTTATAGACGTTCTTAAAGAGATCTAAGCCTTAATTATGTAGCTTAAAGTTACCTACTAATTCTACTACGCACCTACTACTATCTCTACTTTTATTACCTTAATTAAATACCTCTAAGCTATAGCTAAAAGTGTTCTTACTAAATCTTCTAAGCTTAATAAACCTATATATAAGTAGGTAATATCTAGTATACGCTTAAAGAAGTAGCGCTAGAGTATAAAGAAGAAATATAACTTACTTATAAAGTGTAGTACTTAGAAGGTAGTACTAGCTACTAGCGTGTCTACTAACTCTAGAACTTTATATAGTTACTAGATACTTTACGTTAAGCGTAGCTCTAGTAGTACTATTACTAGGTATAAGACTTACTAAGTAGTGCGTAGCTTTAAGTAGCGCTATAGTATTAACTTTAATAAGACGTTTACTACTATTATTAAGCTAATAATCTATAAAGCTATCTTTGCTATTATAGTAATAAATAACTAGAACGTAGAATAAATAGATATTAAAACTACTTTCTTATATAGCTTTATTAATAAAAAGGTATATATAGAGCTATCTAATAGCTTTACTTAAGAAGGTAAAGTCTACTAACTACGTAAAGCTCTCTATAGTCTTAAGCAAGTACTATAAATCTAGTATAAAACTCTTACTAGCTTCTTTAAAAGTCTTAGCTATAAGCACCTCTATAAAGATTATAGTATCTTTATCTACTCTTTACACTATACTATTATTGCTATCTACGTTAATAACTTACTTATTACTAGCTCTAATACTACTACTATTTACTAACTTAAAGCAGCTCTTAATAGCTAGTTTTAAATAAGCAACCTTAGACTAGTAGCTTACTACCTAGGTATTAAGATTATAAGAGATTACGCTAATAAGGTTCTATAGCTTAAGTAGTAAATCTATATTAATAAGATTATTGCTAAATTTAACACTACTTTACTTTATAATAGTAAGTACTTCTTTTATAGTAATCTATTTCTACTACTAGTATTAGAAGCTAATTCTCTAAGTAAGCTAGAATTTTACACTAAGTACTAGGCTACTATAGGCTTACTTATATACCTAATACTAGGCACTAGGCCTAACTTTGCCTTTGCTATCTTCTAGGTTAGCTACTTCTTATCTAACCTACAGCCTAACTATTAGAAAGCTGTTCTTACTATCTTTTAGTATATTAAAACTACTAGAGATTTAAAATTAACTTTTAGAGGTAGTAATCTAATTAGCTATATAGATTTAAATTACGCTATAGATATAGATAGGCGCTTAGTTAGTAGCTATATCTTTAAGCTTAGCAGCACTACTATTAGCTAGTCTTCTAAGTAATAGATAATAATTTCGCTCTCTACCTATAAAGCTAAATATATTACCTAATCTAAGGTATTAAAGAAAGCTATCTAGCTGCGCTAGCTACTTATAGAACTTAGCTATCTAATTTAAATAGTTACTCTTAAAGCTAATAATCTTAGCGCTATTACTCTTAGTTTAAATCTAATAAATTATAGTTATAGTAAGTATATTAACGTACGCTAGTACTTTATACGCAAAAAGGTAGCTAAAGGCCTAATTAAGCTAGAGTATATTAGTATAGTAGACATAGTTGCTAATAGCTACACTAAACTACTTATAGGTAATAAGCTAGCTAAATTTATATATAACTTAGGCTTAGAATAGTAACTCTTCTACTAGCACTAGTAGCTTACTATTCTTATCTTATTTAGGCTCTATATTTCTCTAATTAGATTTCTCTAAGTTCTCTAGAAAGTCTTAGTAAAGTCTTAGCGTTATTATCTAAAGACTAGCTATAATTTAGTAGAAGAAGTTTAGAAGATTTAAATTACGCTATCTTCTTAATAAGGCTTTCTTAAAAGCTAACTATATTTTAGGTCTTCTTATTTAATAAAGCTCTATAACTATCTACTAACTAGAGAGATACTTTTAAACTTTAACAAATTTAAGAACACGTTATAGCACCTTAAGTAGCTACTTTTTAGTAGCTACCTTAATTAAGTACCTAAAGGCTATACCTATACTTCTAAGAACAACTTTAGCTAAAGCCTTAAAGGCACCTATCTTAGAGAATTTACTATAAGTCTAATACTAATAGTACTAAGCTTATATTAAAGTAGAGCCTCTTAAAAGACTAATCTTTCTTTATATTTATAAAGAGAACTTTAATAGACTAATACCTATATTTAGATAGCTACGCGCAAGTAAGCCTAAGGCTAGAGCTAAAGAAAGCTACTACTTAGGCTAATAACCTAACTAGATTTATTAATCTCTTAGGCTTTATAGTAACTACTTACTATAAATAATAGGCGCTCTAGTTAAGCTTTGTATATAAATTCTACTAAGCTCTTTCTTTTAAAGTAGCTTACCTTACTCTAGAAAGAATTAGGTAGGCCTCTCTTTAGAAAATAGTATAGTAGTTTTATTACTTACTATACGCCTAAAGGCTAGAGGCTAATATAGACTCTCTTTTAACTACTAATATAGTAGTCTACTTTATCTACTATAAGCTAAAGCTAGTAATAGATAGGTAGTAATTTAGCGCATAAATTAGAGAGTACTAGACTAAGATATAATTACTATCTTACTTCTATAAGAACTAGCGTATACGCCTATAGGTAACTACTACTAAGTATAGTTACTTACGCTAAATACTAACTACTCTTAGAGCTTATAATTTTAAGCTTACTAACTAAGTTTAAATAAATTTAAGCTTTTACCTTTACCTAGAGAAATTTAAGGTTGCCTCTCTATATATATAGAAATATTATTTAGTCTAAATTTTATAGTCTAGAGTTAGAGTAGTAGAAAATTCTTAGAGGTACTACTAGATATAGAATAATTAGAAGATTCTATTTCTAGCCTTAAAAGCTAATTTAGAGCAAAACTAAAAGAGCTAGAGTAAATTAAATATTTAGAATAGTATATAGTTACTAGAACATAATATTAGTAGAAGTATTTAATTAGGTATTCTTTAGAGAATAATATAGATTAAGTAGAAGTGTTAAAGTAAATGTTATATAACCTACTAGTGTTAAGTATATAGTCTAGAGATTCTCTTAGCATTATTAATTTATTCTTCTTACTTAATTCTCTCTTCCCTCTTTAACAGTACAAATCTAACTAACAAGTGTTCTTTAGTTTGAGCGTCATGACATCAGTCTGGAGAAGTTGAGTCGCAGGGATCCGGGTTCTGTTAGGCTGGCTGGTAGATGTTTAATCATCACTCTGTACAAGATGGCGGGGTTAGTCGCCCCGAACATCTCAGCGGCACAGTTCGCAACTCGGCAGATTGCACGTGACATTTGGCTCTGATGTTCCAAGGCTGCTCTCTTTGCCAAACACTCGAAGGCGTCTTGATATGGGAAAACGTGATACCGTAGCCATAAGGGATCCTTCGCCGTTAGCATCAAACCCCTTCAATTTGATCATGCACAGTACCAAGGTATGATGGCTGGGCAAATCACTGACCAAGGCCTATTGCTTCATATCAATTCCGCTGCGCCGCCTTGGCTGTTGAATGCGGAATGGGGTTATGCGGGCGGTTATCAGCACAGGGTAACACGATACGTTATCGGAGGACCCACAACCAAGCCTCTTCCAACATGAGCGCATGACAGCTTCCTGGATGCGGCAGCTTGACACGGGCCGTGTCTTGTTCGTAGATCATCCTGATAGCGCAAGAACGTCTGTCGTTAAATCACTGATTGGGTCGAGACTTTCCAAGGGTTCGCACGGTGAGTGTACCAGAATATCGTCATCTTCATCGCGCGAGCTATGAGTACATTGCAGGCTCTTGGTTCAAGCGGACATATTGTCTTCCGAGTCGTCTATAGTCGAGAAAGGAAATGTGTCTGCTGAAGCTCCAGAATACGTCTCGTGCACGATGATTGCCTAAGACGCAACGACAGATCTGAGGAGAACAGAGAAGAAACGCAATCGGAATGGTACATCCAACCATAATATACAACGCCAGTGGGTATCCTGTAAACAAAGTGAGGCTTTTACTCGTGAACGCCTCTACCGAGTGCAGATGAGAAACTTTATACATAAGGAAGAAAGAGACCCGACATTGTTGTCTTACGGGTTATGGGCTACTTCCTTTCCCTTCGAGGAGCGAGGGTGCAGGAAGTTAAGCCCGCCCTTGGCGACACCAGCGACATTGAAATGCAGAGGCTCCTTGGGTCCCTTCTCCCTGACCGGCATCTTACGCTTGGAGCGACCCGAGACGTACATTGGCTGCTGCGCATGACCGTTGCCATTGACGTTGGGCATGCTCTGCTTCGATCGCAGCTTGGGCTTCTTGTCGCGATGCTCGTCATCTGTGGTCTCCGTGTCGAAGCTGCGAAGGCTACTGCGCTCAGAGGAGAAACGCGGATGACTGGAATGGCTTGACGACTGGGTTGGCGCACGCTGCAGAGGGCTCAGAGGGCTCAGCCTAGAAGAACGGACCGACGATGCTGTCTGAGCGCGCTCGATCGGACTCAGCATGGCAGCAGAGTTGGCGAGGACGTCCAGCCCCGAAGGCGCCCTAGTCGCCATCGAGTGAGTTCGAGATGAATAAGTAGGAGGAGGATCCTGGTAGTCGTACATAATCTCAGAGTCCAAGCTCTTGTATTTGGCAGTGCCGTCAAGCTCCTCGTCGTGTTCCCAACAGGTCTCGTCGATGCCGGTCACGGGAGGCAAGAATCGAATTTCGTTCCAGGTGACATCTTCGTACTGCAGGGTGATGTACAGGAGATCTCCTTGCATTTTGTCGTGCGCGATGCAGTGGTCCTCCAGGAAAGGATAATCCCATACACCACGGTGAACGAGATCAGGTGGTAAGAGCGTCAGCGCCATGCGGCCATAGGGTTCGTCGGCTGGGCGATGACCGGTCATTGGCATCCATGGTCTGCCACGGAACACGCCCTTGAAGGCAGTCTCGATGCCATTCGCGAAACAGGAGCTGTCCGGACTGGGGAACTCGAGGGTTTGTAGTAGCTTGCGCGAAGCACATCGTCGGTAGCCATTGCTGTCCGGATCGTACGCGAACCTCTGCGATTTGCGTGGGACGAAGACGACACGGACGCTCCACGAAAGGGGGTACTTCTTATCAGTTCGAATCGGAAGTTGACCAAGGGTGTGATTTGACTGCATCAACAGTGGCATTGGCGGCGCAGGCGAGGCCTTTGGTGTTGACAGACGCGTTTTTGGCGTCGAGGCAGCAGGCGTGACGTCTCGCGACATGCCACTGAATTGCTCCACCCGGTCGACTCTGTTCTCCAAATCCATGCTGAACTCGTCTACCATAGTGAGCCTCTCGCCCTGCACCTTGATCTGATCACTGAGCTCTGTTGTCCTATCCACCACGGCCTCGACTCGGTCGTCAATAGACAACTTGAGAAGTTGCATGTTCTCGTACATGCGTGCCTGTACTGCATGGTTGGTCCGCACCAGCTCTTCTCGAGCAAGCCGCTCCCTGAACAGCTCCTGCTTCAAGTCTTGCTCCAGCGTCTCGAAACGCTTGACCTCCTGCTTCAGCCGCTTCATCTGCTCTACTGCTTGTATGTATGCCTCGGTTGACACAGTCGAGATGGGCTGGGCCTCATGGTTCCACGCCTGGTGTCCGCACCCACAGCGGGAGCGTATGATGGAGTCGGGGTAGAAGCTACGGCAGGGGCAGCGCTGGCGAGCGCCCCGCCTCTCAGATGGTGGAAGGATGAAGCCGCATTCTCCGCGGGGGAGCTGAGGTTCGTCGCCAGGCGCGGGGTTTCCAGTCGGATGGACGGGGGCCTGGATGTTGCTATGGAACATCAGGAGTCGACCTGAGGTGGTGGTCGTAGCGTGGTTGCTGTATGGGTAATGGGCGGCTCATGGAAGGCCGGCAGAGAGGGTCTCTGGGTGTACGGAAGGAGCGACTGTGTCTACGGTATCGCACGCAGGGGAGACGAAGCCAAGAGCCTGAGGCACAACGGTTAGCTGGGGCGAGGCTCGTAATATACAGGCACAGGCATGTCGCTCGGACATGTATGGGGCTGGCGCACAAGATAAGCAATCATGGACTACGCACATTCAGAGCCGGACAGGCGGTGCACGCGGGAGCATCCGAGTGGAAGGTGGCACAATCAAAAGGACGGCAGACCTGTGCACCCGTGGGTGAGGGTGAGGGTTGGAGCAGCGGTAGAGAGCGTAGGAGCGCAGTGGGTGCTGGTCAGGTTTTGGGGCGCTGGGATGTGCAGGTACTCTTTGTTTTTGGCATTGGAACTAGCTCCCGCGCCGGGGATGGCCAGCCCTGTGCTGGGCGGGGACAGTGCTGGGCTGGTTGTGGGTGCGGTTGGAAGCTGGAGTTTGGGGTGTGTGGTGGCCGCCGAGCCAGGAGTAAGAGATAAGACTCACGCCCTCTGCCAGAAAACGCGCCAATGACACGGCGGGCGTGGGAGCCCCGAGACCGCCTGGAGTCGCCGCAGGCCCCATGTGCCCTCTCATTGCGTGCCTGCGCTGCTGCAGCCGCAATGCCCTGCAGCACACCGGGTGGCTTCTCGACGCCGCGCCCCTGTGCGACGCTTTATCGCGGCCACGGCATTCATCTGATATGCGCCTGTCTCCACCGCCCGCAAGACGTGCCATGCCCTGCCTCTGGACGGTGAGCCAAACCCCACACGAGCCGAGCCTGACGGCCTGAGGCCATTTGTAACACTTCTTCGTCATCGCAGACGCGGAGCAGCGCCCCGATTCCGCAGTGAGGATGCTGGGTCTGGTAGACGCTGGTCCACGTGCAGCGTCGTCAAAGTTTTGGATGGACATGGTCGTCACCCGTACCAGACGCTTCGCAGGCGCCCGTGAGCGAGGGGAGGATCCATGGTGGTCTGTCCCTTATCGCGACTTCCTGATACACCCCACGCAGCCTGGGGTTCGCTTATCTGATTGGCTTCCCGTCGCATCAACGCAGAACAACTTTGGAACCGCCTTCTTTTTGCCAGCGCGCTGAGGACAGAGATAGTGGCCCGATTGTGGCAAAATCACTCAATGCCACACAGCCCAAGAAGCCTGTACGTCCGCCGTCTTCTCTGCTGCTTCTACACCGCCGACGGCCTTCTGTTGCTGCAGCGAACGATCGCCATTTCACATGCATGCCCGTCACCTACCCGGCACTCAGGCTTCACGGCATGCATCAACATTCGCACCCGACCCAATGCCGGTCGCTCCTTCTGCACGGCGTCTTCGATGTGGCAAGGCGCGCCTGCTCCATTGGTACTCGAGCACCAGCCTCATCCGCATCCTCTGAATGTCCATTGATGCATGTAGGCAGCGGCGTAGTAATGAAGGAGCCCGTTTGGTCGAGTCAGGGGTCTGACAGTCTTGTGTCGATATCTTCTCAACCCAATTCTGAGGTCGACGCTGACCAAAACACGCCACACACGCCACCCCTTGTTCGTGAGACAGACCCTCTCTCGCGCCAACGTAGGCGGCACAGTCAATCGTCTCAAGCGGCGCAGCGCCTGAAGAGTTGGTGAGTTCAGGATAGTCGTTCTGAACGCGCTCTGTCAAACGCGCTGTCACATGAGACGGTGTGTTAATCCGTCGCACGCTCCTCCAAGTAGCGCGCTGCAGGACCGCGCACCAGCTCAACCACCGAATCCCACGTCACGTAAAGACGTTACACACGCAGGGCCTCGGCGAAACGTGGACGATGCTTGCCACGATGACTGATTCGTCCTACACAGCGCGGCATGTTCATCAAATTCCATGACTTCGCTTCCATCGCGGTGGAACCGATGGGGTAATGGATACTAGTTCCTTCCAAACACTGCAGACTTTGACTGCACGTTTGCTCCTTCGAGAACTCCTGCTACCGGATACTTGGTAAGTATGACATCTGTACGACCACGGAAATATATCTTTTCACGTCGCGAAACGTCGGTATCCCACGTCCTCTTAGCGACATGCCATACCACTTTCCTTCTTCGGCACCGTCACGGCGTGTTCGCTTGATGACATTGCATCGCTCAATCGCGTCTTACTTACGCCCTCAACTCCCCATCCAACCAAATACCCTTCACTTCCACCCAGAAAGGCTAGCCTCGCGGGAGTAGCCGTGGGGCAGCCAGCAATGTGTATCGCGTCCTTCCTGAAACGGCTGTGAAATTCTGCGCATATTTTATTTGCTTTTCTGTGATCCTGCCACGCGTGCAATCGCTGCAAGTCATCGCACCTTTGGAGGATTCCCACGTGCTGAAAATAAGATGGGAACGGTTGTCGCATCATAAAACCGGCTCTCATCGGGCCTGTGCCTCGATCTCTGCTTTCGCGACGACGCGACATGCAACGCTCGAGCACGCGCGGCCCAGGAGATATGAGTGCTCACTCGTATATTCCTAACGCGATCACGTGGCCAGAACGGCAGCTGCAGTCAGCGGGGAGCGGTCCTTTTCATTTCCATGACTGCCATCGCGGTTGGACAACGTACGGATAGGGGTGCAGAATCATATTTGGGCCTTCGTCTCAACAACCGTGCAGCAAGGTTTGGGCTTGCTGACGATGTCTCACTGCCCTCGGAGTTTGCCATGGACAAGGCAGTCCCGGGCACGTCGGGCAGATGACGTCGGAGCTTCGGACGGATCATTCCCCCGTCTGAATCTGCCAAGATATCCGAGCATCAAGCCGGTCCTCCTCCAGCAGCGAGCCTAGAGTCGGGGACTACTTACTTTGTCGCATTCTCCACTACTCTCAGGATTACAAAATGCCGGAAGAGAATTGGATTGCTCATGGAGGCGTCCCCGCGTGCGACTTATGCCATTCCCGAAAGGTGAGTCGCCGACCCAATCGGGCCACTACCCGCATTGCGACTGAAGCGTTGACAGCTCGCAGGTGAAATGTGATCGCAAAGAGCCATGTGCAAACTGTGTGGCAGCCAAGACGGAGTGCTTGCGCAACAGACACAAGCGTGTTCCTAAGCCTAAAGTTCGGACGTAAGCAACTGCCCATCTCTCGTGCTTGTGACAGATGCAGAACAGGAGTTCTTTTTCTCGATTAGCACCTTTCGTTCCAGCTCTGATGATGATGCAGGGACGAAAAAATAAAAGCTCTCGTGGAGCGGCTGTCGAGTCTTGAACACTCGGTCCAGAGTGTTCACCGAAGCCCAAGCCTGGCGCAGGAGCAGGAGTGTACAAACAGTTTCGCTGTACCGACCATTGAAGCATCGTCAGACCGACCGACAAAGAGGCAGAGAACAACAAGCTCGCTAGACGTGCCGGCCCCGGTGGCAGCTTCGGATGTTGATAACAGTCCCCAGACAGCACATGAAGCTCGTGTACATATTAGCAAAGAGCTCTCTACCAATGGACTGCTGTCCGGTCATCAGCGTTCGGTCCTCGAGACCGCCATGTCGTTCGTTGACCAGCTATCAAATACCCCAACGCCGACCATGACTGATCGAAGTACCTTTGACGAGTCGATGCATGTCTCTACTGAAATATCCAAGCGCGAGATCTTTAACATTATCCTTGGCAGTAAGTCGATATGCTTGGAGAATCTTGACACAGAACTGATGAGACTGCTAGCTGAATCCAAAGACCGAGGCAACGCTGCCGTTCGCTACCACACTGTCGATCATGTACCACCAAAGGCGTTTGAGAAGATCGCGCTCGCTTTAATGGAAGGAAACGCGGACGAGAAGACCCTTAATCTGTACAAGGTCATTGTGCACTTTCAAGGCGCTGTTGTACTATACGCAAATCAGCTACAAGGCCCCAAAAGCGCAGCCGTCCAAACGCACATCCAGCAAATGGAGTTCAATCATCTGACAGCAGCGCTTACTGCTCTGGACCGCATTAGTTTCCTAACCGCGCCATCCCTACTACTTGCTCAGGCCTTGATCACTGGGGTACGTCTATGGTAGCTGTGCTACTTCGAGATGATTTACTAATAGATGCAGGCCATCATGATGCAAATTATGGGTAACCCAGTGAGTTGTTGGGAACTCACGGCACATGCATCTCGCACTATTGTAGCTCTGGGATATCACCACATTGATAAGCCAATGCCTGAAAGTGATTCCGAAAGCGAAATCTATGCACTTGTCGGCCAATGCGCATTTCTTGACAGTATCATGAGCCTTTTGCTGCTGCGACCAAGATCTCTTCCTCAACTTCCGGTCAAAGCCTCGTACTTGTTACGAGCCGATCCAGCCAGCCCTATGAGCATTCTAGAGATGCTTCCCGTACTCGACAAGATCCTGGATCTGACATTGGACACGAAGCCATCGCCTACTATACTCAACGATGAGGTTGCGCAACTACGGAAAAAGATGAAGGACATCTACGAGCTCATGGAGAAGGAACGGCAACTGCATCTCTTGGATAGCAGAACGGATGCTCTCATACACTGGAAAAGCATGGAGTTCAGATACTTTTCTACCCTGACGTCGGTCCACCGCCTGAGTCCCACCGTTACGACAAATCCCTTGGAACGAGAAGAGTGCCTCCAAAGCGCCCGGAAAGCACTCGAGTGCGCAAAGTACATAGAGGAGCTCGGAAGATCTTTAGACCATTTCATTGAAGGCTATGATCCTTATCTCGCTTGGTAGGTGCAAGAAAAATTGGCGAAAACACTGTTACTGACAACGACCAGGAGCATGCTTTCTTACCCACTCTGTCCCTTCTTCGTCGTCTTTTGCAACGTCGTCGGTACATCTAGCGCCCAAGATTTCCAGCTCCTCCAAGATGTCACCGATGGTCTTTCTGCACTCGTTACAGAGAACAAGTATGTACATCGACTACATCGGCTGTGTGCCACGCTGCTGGGCCTCTGTAGGC